AATGTTGAGTCGCAATATGATCAACATGATTATCTGACAACTGAGAATGACTATATCATAATCCTTTTCAATCACTAAAATATTGCTTCCTAGCAATACCACCATCTCAGTCTCATCTTAATCATCAATCAAAAGATTGAGATTTTGTGGTCCACTAGGATCTTTGTTTCTGCAAAATTTGATGGAGGGCTCCCTTGAGGCCAAATGAAATTATCTCCCAACAATTTTAAAGGTTTGGACAGGAGACACTATAAGTCAAAGAGCTCTCCTCGATTAATCGTGACCACTATCTTCAAATAACTTTTTTTCTCTAGTTGTGTTTATATTATCTAATACTTCACACATTTAATAATTAGAGAAACATCAAGACTACAGTGGGGTCTATCAATATGTTCAAATCTACATGTGCATTGATTTTATCCTTTTGTATGACATATATCTAAAAGTTATCTATTACATAAACAATTTATAATCTTTTTATGAATTTATCTGTCTCTTATATAATTTTAATGTTTAACACCTTAATTACATTTGCAATTTCAAAAGGTACTCTAAGAATATAAGTTAAAAGAATTTTCAGCAGCCACTATTTTATTTATAAATTTCAGATATTTTCCTGTTATTTGCATTTTTCACATTTCATTGTTATATTATTTTCTTGATCAATTTAGATCCAGATGGGAGAAGGCCTGGATGTTCTTTCATCTGTTTTATGACATTGCATACACATGATTAGGACAAAAAAGATTTAGATACATCAAACAGATAAAGTATGACACTAGACCTAAATGTTGATGCAGTCACAGTAGAACTAAGCCATTATATAGAGCACTAAGCAACACAATAATTTAAAACAGAAGTAACATCTATATCTTAATGACCATGAATTATCGTGAACCTGGTGGATGCCACTTTCATGAGCAAAAGCATTAGCACCAACAATAGCTTTATGTGGCTGTACATGCAGTCCGGTATGCTCTGCCACCTGCAACATCAAAACTAAATGTTGAGAAAATTGCACAAGTAACTCATTCTCTAGAAAATATAAAAACTTCAGAAACAAAACATCTACAATTACCATCTTGCTTGCCATGAAAATATGTTTTGTATTAATTCCAGTATATAACCCTCCCAAGAGTTCCTGACGGCACTTCATGGCTACAACAACCTACAATGTTGCAAAATAAAGGATGATGAAAGATTTATAAGAGGTAAAAAGACGTAAAAGAAAGCAAATTAGTAATTGTAACTTTAAAAAATGCAGAGAATTTGCTTCCGGACAAAAAAAATCATCTTAATTAAGTTGTACATCTTCCATAATCATCATAATTTACATTTGCCAGTTTAAAATATCCTGGCACAGTGGCAAAATTGAACCATGAAATGGACTTTTGCAGAATGGAGTCAGAATGTAAAGCTGACCTAATTTCTAGTGCACCACAATAGAGCAAGAACAGTGAACAAGCAAAGATGAGCTACATTGGAATTTCAAAGGAACCAATTTAATTCGATCAACTTTTAGCATAAAGACACTTGCCATGAAAATATTAGCATCACCATATTACGTCGCATGTGACCATAAAACTGATTATCTGTTTAAAAATGAAGTATTAAATTAACAATGCAAATTCTTTCATTCACTGTACTAAAGATAAATGAGTTCTGGAAGAACAATTGGTTCCAAATTATAATTCATTTTGAAGATCTCATGGAAAATGACATGCGGTCAAAACATGATTGAATTCTCTCCAATGAAATGAAATATGTTTTAGAGTTAATAAGCTAGTTGCTTATTCTAAGATAGTTGCTTTGGATTAGTAATCTATTCAACTCCAGATATATAGTTCATTTTAGTTTTTTGAACCGCTTCACAATAATTTATCTTAATTAGGTTCACATATTTTGTATATGCACCTATAGTGTGTATATATGCATCCCATATACATATGCTTAAAGTCGCTGCTCCATGTATTGTCTAAATGCTTCATCTTTGTAACAAAGAAAACAACCAGTGACTGTCTTCACCAACTATGCATGAGACTGTCAGTCTTATATTGTTGGCACTTCAAAAATGATTCATCTTCAAAACAGACAGGGAATAACTAAATTTTCTTTTGTATCTTTTGGTAAACAAGAAAAAAAATCAAATATTCACTTGAGCAATAGCATAGCTTCATTTCTGACAGAATCAATAAAGTTTGAGTAGACAAATCAAATATAACATTCTTCCAATGGTTATTGAGGTTCAAAGTCGTAGAGATGTCCTCCTTCATTCAGAAAAAGGTGTTTAACAAAAGGCACTAATCCTATCAAAATAATATTTTTTAGCAAATGATAGATCCAAAGAAATAATAAGAATTTGTGACAAAGCCAAACAGAAAATGTCTTCAACATTTTCATTATACAACATATCTGTGGTCTAAAAGCATCATCAACTTACAGTACTGTTTTTAGAACATAAACTAATGGCCCTTGAGTAATGAAATTAAATACCTCCTCCAAAGAAGCATTTCCAGCTCTTTCGCCAATACCATTGACAGTGACCTCTAGTTGTCTTGCCCCTGCATAAGCGCCCTGAGATTAGATTGCCCAATAAGTGAGTGCAAAGACGCTGGTAAAAATTATACATGACAACAGTATGCTAGGAAGCAAGATACATACTGCTAATGTGTTTGCAGTTGCTAGTCCAAGATCATTCTGGCAGTGAGTTGATATGATGGCATTTTCAATGCCAGGGGTGTTTGCCTTTATGTCGGCAATTAACTTTCCGAATTCGGATGGAAGAGTATACCCAACAGTGTCTGGGATGTTCAGCGTCGTTGCCCCAGCTTTAATTACTTCCTCCAGAACATGATATAGAAATTCTCTATCAGACCTGAAAGATCATAACCACTACAATCAGAATGTAAACTTCTTAAATAGACAAATTCGAGTACTAAGAGAGCACAAGACCTTCCAGCATCCTCAGGGCTAAACTCGATGTCCTGACATCCAAGACTCCTGGCATAAGCCACCATCTCACGCGCAATGTTCACCACCTCCTCCCTCGTCTTCCTCAGCTTATGCTGCAAATGGATCTCGCTCGTGGCTATAAACGTGTGCACTCTCGGCTTCTTCGCATGGCGAACCGCCTCCCATGCCGCATCAATGTCCTTCTTATTGCACCTCGCGAGCCCACAAATCACCGGCACATGGCCGTCCTCGCCCACGGGTTGGTTCCCGACCTCGATAGCTATTGAGCGGACGGCGTCGAGGTCATCCGGGCTGGAGGCCGGGAAACCGGCCTCGATGATGTCGACACCGAGGCGGGAGAGGTGACGGGCGACGACGAGCTTCTCGTTGCTCGTCATGGTGGCGCCGGGGGATTGCTCGCCGTCACGGAGGGTGGTATCGAAGATGCGGACATAGTTGGGGTCGGGGATGTGATTGGGGATGTACTCGGGCCGCGAGGGGAGGGAGCATTTCAGTGCACCTCCGGAGCGGCTCCATGGTTTAGGAAGGGGCGAGGGGCTGGGAATCGAAAAGAAACGCGAGGAGGGAGGGGAGAGCCATGTGTTAGTGAGAACAGCGGAGCGGGGAATGTTAACGTGGTGGCGATGGACGCAGCTGGGGAAGGAGAAGGACTTACTAGGGTTTGAGAAGACGAGGGAGAACGCCATGAGCGGCGGCGGGCGTCGAGCGTCGGGACAAAATAGGTGGAAAGGGGGGCTGAAACGAGCAATCAGGATAGGGTTCAATGGGTTTATCGCGTTACTTTTGGCACGTACGTTTGGAAGGCGACGGGACGTAATTCGATGAATGCAAATTCGATGAAAGCAAATTCGACGCATGTGCAGTACCGATAACTCCCAAAGAAACCGTCCATCTCATTTCCCCGGACCATCTTAACCGTCCATCTCATTCGAATAAAATATTTGATATTGACCGAATCCGACGGATGGTTGAGATGCGAGCAAGGGATGGAATGGACGGTTCAGCGAAATTCTTTATTACTAAAACTTAATATAGAAATTTACATATTTTATTATTAATATCAACTGAAATTCTTTAACATATTGAGATTCATAATATTGAATGTAATGAACATAAAAATAAAATAAAATTTATTAGGTGCTTAATATGACTTTCGAATTATGAAAAATCATTCACAGACATCTCACTTTAGAATTTTTCTAGTTGTTATTATCAGAAAGTTTTTTAAATAGTTATTAGTCCAGTTAAGAGGATCTAAAATTAATTTTGGTTGTTTGATGATATAACATCTTTATTTTCACTTTTGATAATCACTTAGGAATAATTTGCAATTACCAACTATAATTAGAAACGATTGTATATATTAGTTTCACCAGTCTTTGAGGTTTCATCATCATGATATTTTAATGATGTTCTTGACATTTTGTGCATGCATCAAATCTCATCACTATAATACCTCATCATAACATTGATATTTTGATATGATGTATTAGTGTCGGGAAGACCAGCCAACACAATCAGTAACAGTATTAAGTTTAACTCTTACGACTACATCATCTTATGCAAAAGAGGACCAAAGAACACTGCAACGGGTGCACTCTTAAAAGGATTCCTAGGAAAGATGAGCTACAAACTTTATTTCTATCTTTGTTTCATAAAATTCAGAGTTATCAGTTCCAGCAGGCTATCTAAACTTGAAAATCTTGATACACCATCTCAATCACTAAAGATCAACCACATTTTATGCACAAACTTTACGCAGCAAATACTAACACACTTGATAAAACATTAGTCCACTGTTCCAGTGTCTCAAGATTCTCTGGATCATATTGACACAACAATTTATACGGTCAAACACCATCACCACAGGTACTATAATATATATAAATATATGATTACATATTGACACAACAATTTATAAGGTCAAACAACATCACCACAGGTACTATACATTATACAAATATTTTTTATATATACATATATATAATATTTGTATAATGTATAAACTATAACATGATGAAGGAAGCTTGAAATGAAACAAAAATTTTATGAAGTCAAAAACTGTCCAGCATAAACTCCTTTCTCATAGTGATAATTTGTCTGATTTCTTCGTCTACAGTTTCTCGAACTATCTTTTGCTTGATAAGAACCTGTTTGATAGCTTGGTCTTGTAAATGTCAGTCCCTGGTGACCTCCTGAATCTCGTTTCCTTCTGTTTCTTTCAACCCACTTAGAATTTCTGTTCTCCCAGGTTCCATATGAAATATTCCTACCATTATCCACACAATTATTGTCTCCATTACTCCATGGATCATTCTGAGCAGCTGCTTCATCCCAATGCCCACCACTGTAATTCCATGTGTTGCTAACTCCATCTTTTCTATCCTGATTTCTAGGTTCAGGTTCCACTTCATCATCCCATCCGGTGGGCTGAATATCTTGTACACGGCACATATCCCAATATTCACTTAAACCAGGAGCCGAGTTGAGGCCACTACCTGCCACACCGTGCACATCTGTTGGCACCGATGGCTGTTTCTCCAAATCTGCAACTAGTTCTGGATCAATCGGAGAATCATGGTCAACCTGGACGATGTACATATCTGGATCAGGCAAAGGGATGTCGCAAGGGAGATCATGGTACTGCGCAAAGAACCTGGCCTTGGCATTTTGAAAAGCCTCTAGTGCTGCCGAATCATCCCACTCAAGAACATTCTTGTACATGCCCGTATATCTCTGGTTTTCACACAGAGTCTTCAATTTTATTCGGCATACATCATTATAGAATTTCTTCACCCATGAAGGAACTAAAATACGACCAGGTCCTGCAATTTCCAACACAAAATTATTAGAACCAATACCGAAAGCCGAAAAGCTGCAATTTATACATGTACATGGCCTAAAAATTAAAAACCTAGGCTGGTGATCACAATTAACTTAAGGTTGTCTAAACATAATCATTAGCATACAACAGCACTAGGTGACGTGATTAGTGTCAACACACTATATACATCACAAGCAGTTCGTTAATCATTCCCTTCTTAAAAATGTTCTCATCACAAGCGTGAACTGAAAATAATTGGAAACGATGTACCACCTTTTATCACACAACCATCGGTAATTATTCCAAGTTCATATAATGCAAAACCTATGTAGTCTTAAGATAAAGGTAAACTAACAAATTCATTGCAGTATCTGTGGCAAGCCGGACAATTGTTATTTCTTTCATAAGAAGACTAAACATCGCCATAATCAAGAAATCCCTAACGTTCCGAAACCAAACAGAGTGGATCAACCTGAACACAAGATTGCCCCATCTACGAGAATTCGCATGGAGAAGAAAAGACAGAATAAAAAGAGGAAAGCTCCTTCGTATTACTGATCTTTTGTTTACAAATGAGAAAAAAGATTCACCATTCAATCTCCTACTAAGTTGAATCGCTACAGAAGAAACTATTTCACGGTTGCATCCCGACCTCGTACATCAAAACAAGCATTCAGTAAGCGAATGAAATCAACCCAAAAAATTATTGCATCCGCCATCATCCCCTAACACGTTAGAAGGGAAAAGAAAACATACCAGGGGGGTGAGGCGGCTTCCTGGAGTTGCGCCCGCGAGCTTCTCCATCTCGGTAACGCGAGTCGGCCCCACGCGATCCCCACCGATCACCCATCTCCAAGGGTTCAGAGGGTTCTGACCGACGGCAAAGAACTCCCACAACCAAAAGAGGAGAACAACAGGAGACGGAGGAAGGGATCGAAATATATAGAGGGGGCGGTTTGATGATTGATACGGTAACGCGAATCATGTGCTCGTGGACAAAGGAGCCGGAGACGATAAAGGAAGTAGAGGCGGTTTCGCTTTTATACATGGACGACACCTGTTACTTGGGGGTTTCCTATTCTGAAACAAACAAATAAGCATTGGTTGACCGGATGGGGGTTTCGGGATTGGATTCGGCTTCGCAGGCATCGCTCCACCGAACCGGACGGGCGTTCGGAGAAGATGACGTCGGTGTTGCATTCCTACTTTGTCCCGTCGGGGGCGCCTCTCTCTCTCTGTCTCTCTCATCCTGTAGTTTTCTCCGAGTCGGTCCGTGTGCGCACTCGGGATTGCTAGTTTACTTTGTGGGGAACGGTGCTCACCTATGGAGGCTAAGGCAGGATCCACGCTTTTCACGCGCTTCCGTTACGTAACATGTGTGGGACCCACAGCCGATGCACGTTTTGTTGTCTTCGGCTTCTCAGTTTAATTCAGGCAAACGGTGCTCGCGTACGTGACTTAATACAGGATCCACGCTTTTGAAGCACTTCCGCCATTTAGCGATGTGTGGGACCCACCGCCGATTCGCCACACGAGTCTCGCAGTAATCCCCGTCAGACTTTAAATGAACTAATCTCGAAATGTTGAAGACTGAATAAGTATGAACATGGAAGGAAAATTTTATCCTACAGGAAAATATTTATTTTTGGTATTAAAACATTTTAAAAGACCTTTGTTTACTTTATAAAAACTTAATTACTATATTATAAACTTAACATTTTTACTTCTTCGTAAAACTTTGTTGTGGTTATTGTAAAATCATTTCTTTTTTGCTTGACAACAATGATTCATTCGTAGCAAAGGTCAACGTAGTGAGAAAATATAATCATGCATGATTTGAAAAAAATTATTATTAGTCAAACAATTGATCACATAATAGGCAAATTCAACTCCATGTAACATAAAATCTAAACGATTTATTATAATAGATTACCCAAGGTTTTGTAAACAATTTTAATTTCACCATATGTTTGACAATGGTAAGTCCTACTTATATATTAAGTTAGCATCGAATTTCTAGTTTTAGGAACCCCTGATATTTAATTATCATCGTCGAAAGTAATACGACAAATTTCCTCATGTATCATATCCTGTTATGGACTTCTTCATATACGACAATCCTCGAAAGCTCAAAAGTAAATTATATTATTATTTTTTTATTACGTGAGATTGATGATCGAAATTGATCATATCAGAATAACCCATCATTTAAAAAAAATCCAACATCAGTGATAAAGATAAAAATGTATCTCATTTTTATGTTGAATCGTTAAAAATCTTATATTCAGCATATATTATTGACATGATAAAACTATTTTTTTTAACCATCAAGTATATACATTGGTTTTAGTATCAAAACTATCTCACAAATGTTATACTAGTTAAAAAATATAAAAAAAAATAAAAATTATATATTGATTATATCAATCCTAATAAATCTTGTTACCTCAAATGGGCCACTAGTTTATCCCTTTCTAATATAAACTTTTGACCTTTATATTATCATATAAAAATAACATCAAATTTGATATGATTAATGTTGAACATCAAGTTGATGTAACATAATAAATTTGACATTATTTCTTTTTAATATTCTCATGTTTGATAGAAGTTCCTATCGGATGTGATGTGAGAGTCAATTAAATAAGACATAACTTCTCTTAAGAGGTAAAATGTTGTATCTCATATATTTTAAGAGAGCGTGGAGGGGGCACGACATCTTTAATTATTGTAAGTGTAAAAAAGCTCGTAAGAAGTTTTATATTTGTTTAGTGAGTTCAAGAAGTTTTATATTTGTTTAGTGAGTTCAAGACGACGACATAGTCGGAGAAGTTGCTTTATGTAGTGTCAATTTTCATTAGATGTCATAACGATATAGTATGTGTAAGATGTACGTTTAAAATGAAAAAAAGCATTCTAGGTAAAGTACCTACTTTCATACGATATATTCGTTTATATAAAATGAATATTTTGGTATATTTGATATGGTATGTTTCGATATCACTCACGTGGCAACAGTCAACAATTATGTCAGCGTCAACCAGGAGGCTCTTATTAAATTTTAGATTTTGATAATGAATAAATTGATAAAATTATGATTTAATCAGTGTTCGAGTGACTTAGGAAATCAGATTTTGGGTCGAAAAGCATCATACGTGTCGATAGAAGGACTTCGTACCTATTGAAAAAAAGATTGGTAGTGAAAGCAGTGGCCTCGAGTGGACATACTGTCACGGACTTAGCTGGTTTTGCCTAAGTCGTACGGCACCCTTGCGTGTCCGTCCGCAAAGGTCAGCCTCCCCGAAGCCTCCCATTGTCCCTTAGGACCACCAAAAGAGAGAACGGGTTAGAGAGAACGCCTCAATCGGGATCCACAAGCAAACATCTCCGAAAAACACTTCATAGACAATGCAAATTACAAACAGACTTTACAAGCTCTGAACAATGGCACGACAAAGGGTAAAATGGTCCATTACAGACCGAAAATCTCTCGCACGTGTTCACATGACACAACCTTTATTTACAAGCCTAAAGAGGCCACCAACCCAACTAAAATGGGACTATTAAGCCTTCGACCGCCCCTCTACATGCTGTACAAGGCATGAACATGCCGAAAGACACGAACATACATAAGCATTACATCAAACATCCTGTTTCGAAGTTTGTCCGTGACAATACGTTGGGATGACCGAATTACTATAAATCGGTTTATATTTTTGTTTATATTTTTTATTTATATTACAAATTGATTTACTTGCTTACTATTCTTACGAATGTTTTTAAGTTAAACACATTCCCGATATGGGTTTAATTGAACAAGTTTTCAAATATATGTAATTTTATGAAAGTACTAATAAATGTCATGTACGTACAAAGGAAGGAATCGACTTTGTGAGTAACACTCAACAAAATTCAACTATATTTGTTAAAGAACCCACATTGCATATTACCCTGAAAATTAAATATAATTTTTTTATGATAAATGAGGTCATTATGCTTATGAATGCTTATCTAAAAAGTATAGCTCTCATAAATTAGTTTGGATTCCTAAAGGAACCATAAATGACTGTATGTCAAAAGATAAGATAGATAAATTTAACCATTAAAGACCCAAAGTTAACTATGTATCTAAAACAAACATACTTTTCTTGTAGACATCTCTACAATTGAAAGCTAGGAGCAAAAGATAAAAATCTTAATAGTGGATGCTAAAAAATCTTAATAGTAGATGCTCAAGACATATGATCATATATCTAACACACTTCATAAAGCTCACTAACCGAAATAATAATAATAAAAGAAAGATCATTTGAATTAGAATTATTAGTTATAAATCTTTTGATTGAAGATGTTTTGTTGTTTAGTGTGTTATACTATTGATCTTGGTGATTTTTGTGATAAAATTTATTTTTTAATTTTAAATGATGATGCATGGATTTGATATAAAAGACAAAGAGTATGAAATCAATCACATAAATAGAAACTAAAAAAAGGGAAATGCATTTGACATAAAAGACAAAAGACATATTTTTTAATAAGAGATTGATAAATCTATTTATATTTTTTTATGAATATCTTGAACTAAGAAAGTGATTTTGATGATTTGATAAATTAAATTTGAATATGTTTTATCCAAATCTTTCACTTGATATCTGATATTTATTATTTTTTTCTCCTATGTTTCTTTTTGCTATTTATTATAGGGTAGTTTCATCGAAATCATATTCTTGTTTTCTCGATATTTATAACTTGAGATTTATTCTATATGAATTAAAATCTTTTATTCATCAATGATTTTTTTTGCTATTTACTAAAGAGAATATTTATCCAAATGAATAATGGTTTTTCTTTTGATTTCTTAGAATTCATGACTTAAAGATTTGTTTTGAAGATCTTTTACTATTTGATCTCCTATGATTTCTTTTTGTTATTTAAGAGGAGACTCGGTCAAAATGAATCATGATCTTTTAATATTTACAACTTGATCTTTCATGATCTTTGATATTAATATCTTTCATGTCATGATTTATTTATTTCATATGACTCCCTTGTGTTCATGAATTGTATACCTAATCATTAAATTGATTTTTCTTGATATCTTTTATGTGATGATTTGAACATTGATAAAATGAAGAAAAAAAATTACACTATTATATTATTATCTTCTTTTTGACAAAAACAAAGGAGGAGAAAGAATTACTAACTTGCACATTTTAAATAGAAGCAAAACTTGCTAGCTTGTACATCTCAAAAGAGAAGCAAAATTTGCTAGCTTGCATATTTCAAGAAGAAGCAAAAATTACTAAACTTGAACATCTCAAGAGAAGCAACAATTACTACCTTACACATCTCAAAAAATTTCTAACTTGCATGTATAAAAAAAAAAGAAATTGCTAGCTGCATTTTTCTCCTTTTTGTTGATGACAAAAGGAGAGAAGTAATGATGATTTGAAGTTATGCCCAAAGTTATGATAATTTAAAATTTTAATATTTTGGTATCATGTAATTTATGCCTGATTTGAAATTTGAATCATGCATGGTACGATGTACTTTGATGTTTTGAAATTATGATGATTATGCATGCAATACTCATGATTTTATGATGAAAGTCATGGTTTCAAAGGTTATTGTTCTTTATGAATTCGAGTTTGCTTTATTTTGATATGACATATGGATAAGGAGAGTTTATTTAAAATTTTGTCATCAATTGGTTGTCATTAGCAAAAAGGGAGAGATTGTTGAATCTTGAATTTTGATGATAAAATCAGTGTTTGAGTGACATAGGACTAACTTCGATCATGGAAAGATAAATCGATTGAAGCAGGAGAATTAAATGTTAGGCCGGAGAGCATCATGTCAAGAGATTGGATGTCAGGCTAAAGGATTGGTCGATATGTTAGTAGAAATACTTCGTGCCGTGAGTTTAAGCATCGAGCTAGAAGGATTATACATTACACCAAAGAAGTTGGATGTTGTGGGAGGTCAACATGTCGATAGATCGGGCAATATACTGAAGGAGAGGACGATACGTTGAAAGTTCGGACGAAACACCAAATGAACTAATGACATACCAGACAAAATAGGATTCATGTTTGCAATCGGTCGTGTCTTGATCAAAGTAGTTTAGATTGTAATTGAGTTGGTTTTGAGTGTAACAATGCCAACTCAATTAGGAGCTCATTCACTTGAGTCAAAACTGATTTGGCCCCATTGGGAGGCCCATTCAATGACCCAAAGTTAGGTCAGGCAGTGGCACCATCAGAACAGGCGGTGGAACCGCCTATGAGCTGGAACGCACGAAGTGTACATTTTCCGAAAGACCTAATGATGGTTCCGCCAATGTTAGGTGGTGGTACTGCCCAAACTAGCGGTAGTACCGCCAATACATGGTCTCCCATATGTTAGGCAGTGGTACCTCCCAAATTGGGTGGTGGTATTGCCAATTAGCAGTGTTGTAGGTAGTGGTACTGCTCAACACTAACAATGGTACCGCTAGGTCCCCAAAAATTGGGGATGAGATATTTTTTTGCTTTATTTTTGAAGTCATTTGAGATATATAAATACCCTAGTTATTCCTGCTTGGGAAGCAAAAAAAAGAGTAGAAAGGGGAAAAAATACTTAAAAAAAAGAGTTATAATCTCTCTTGAGTTAGTGAGTCTCTTTCTCCTAACCTATTGTAAAAGAAAGGTGTAAAGGTTCTCTCATGAGATTATGAAAAAGAGAAAGAGTTGTAAAGAGGATGGTTAATCTTTGCCCGTTGAAAAGAAGATCGATAGTGAAAGTCGGTGGCCTCGAGTGAAAACTGATGGCCTCAAGTGAAGAGGAATCAAGAGTGAACGTAAGTCGGGACGACCGAACCACTATAAATCGGTGCATTTCTTTTTATGCTTTTCATTCATATTACAAACTTATTTACTTGCACACTACTCTTACAAACATTTTTAAGTTAAACGCATTTCTGATACGGGTTTGATCGAATGAGTTTTCAAATTAACGTAATTTTAGGAAAGCACTAATTCACCACCCCCCCCCCCCGCTCTTAGTACCGTTTTTGGTCCTAACATCTCGAGGCTAACGCAACACACTACGTCGACATGACATCTCAGGCTCAGACGAGATAACCGCCTGGTCCCGCGTTATCTGGCGTCGTACAAGATGACGCCACATGGTGTCACGCGGTGCAGATCCGTGTAGCTCGATCGGTGCTTGCACAAGAAGTACAAGTCAGTCGCTCGAGGAGTCGGTTGTGTACAACCGACCATTGTTCGCAGATATAAAAGCCAACCCCATGACTGACACCAAAGAGGACCTTGAACACTTCAACTCCACTTAACCTCACTCAACACTAACTTGACCTTATGAGGGGCCAAGTCGAAAAACTCCCTCCTGGCTTTGGCCTTTGTGCAAGGACTCAGTAGAGAAGAAGTAGCAACCCGTCAAGGGAGAGATCACACTTGAGTGACAAAGCTTCAACCTAACGTCGACCTATTATATTTAAGCCTCCTTGTTAATGACTTTGTGTACTTGGGATTAGACCTAATCGTGTTGACACCCACGAGACTCACAACATAAGATTTCCTAATAGGATTCATTCAAAACCATATATATTACTCAATGAAATTCAAAACATTGATTTGACTCTCTTTTATGCATGATATATTCACTTGGGATAAAAAAAAATCTTAAGTATTCAACATAACATAAGAATTTTTTTTTCATAGATACATTCATCCAAAATAAAAAAATATACTCAAAATATTTTTTATAAAATATTTTTTTTATACATCATGCGCTCATCCAAGATATAAAGACATCTAAAATATTTATTTTACATGTGATGTGCTCGTACAAACAAAATGTGGAGGTATTGTGATTCACTTTGATTAGGTTTTGTATTATATTGCCCGTGCCCCACTAGTATATCTATAGAGAAAGATTGGAAATTATTAGAATAGTGATGAATGCAACCTCATGTTAGATTGGACTCTTTCTTATGCCCAATATATCTACTCAATACATAAAAAAATTAAAATATTTAACACAACATAAAAATATGTTTTTATATATGATGCATAAAATCAAAATAAAAAAATTAAATTATCTCACGTAATCTAAAATATTTGTTTTTTACATTCAAGACATAAAAACATCTATAATATCTTTTTTACTCATGATGTGCTCATCTAGACAAAATGTTAAAGTATTATGATCCATTCATATGATTTTGTATTATATTATTCGTATATCAACTTAGAAAGTTTGAAAATAATTGGAATACCAAAATCATCCAAAAAATAATATGAAATTACTCACAATATCTTCGTTAGAGTATATTCCCGAGATCGACACATGATCAAACACAAGCATATGATAGATAGATACAAAAGATGAGAAAAATGACATTTTTTGGATTGCAACTTAGTGCCGCTGACGCTTTGCAATGTGAGAAGAGAGTATAATTAATTAGACATAAATAAAGAAATTAAGTTAGTACCTCCGTGAGAGGGGATGAACAAATTTCAAGAGAGGGCTAATTACATATGTGATTAGACTTATTTAGCAATCCGATTTTTAGATTTAAAAAATTTATATTAAGATCCCTATAAAAGTGAAATATTTAATCTCATTTATTATAATATCATCGGTAAAAAATATTACTGATAAAAGATATAATATATGACAATACGTGTATGAATAACATAAAAACGATAAGCAAACATATGATTTTAATGATGGTAACGGACGTTAGACGTCGTAAGTGGCTATTGTGGCAATGGTTGACGACAACGACACAGTGGTTGGTTTTGTCAATGTCGATTCGAACATCAATGATGAGGAGATACAACAGTGAGGCATCTACGTCGATGTTGTGTTGCTCTCCCTCCTCTTCCTCTTCTTGCGCTGCTCTATCTTTTCTTCCTTTTGGTGCTAGACGAGGAAGATGAGGCAAAGTGGCATCGAGAAGGCAGAGCCATGTGACACCTATGCATATGCCTTATCTCTCTCCTTTTCCTCCTCCGATGCTACACTGCTTTGCCTCCTCTCTCATCGTTGTTGGCGACGCAGATGCCTTGCCTGCCTCCTCTAGCACTAATGCAAATGCAAAGTAATGTCGAAGGAGGAAGAGGAGGCAGAGCAGTGCGGTATTGACTCAGATGCCTCACCTACCTTTTCTTCCTCCTCTAGTTCCGACGTAGATGTAGAGCAGCATCGAAGGAGGAAGAGGAGACAAAGCGGTGCAACACCGACGTAGACGCCTGATCGCTTTGTCTCCTCTTCCTCATTATTGTTGATATTCTGATCGATATCAACGAGGCCAACCACCGCGTCGTTGTCACGTGTTATATCTTCCGTCGATAAAGCCGATGATGTTAGGATAAACGAGGTTAAATATTTTACTTTTATAACTATAAGGATTTCAATGCAAATTTTTTAAATCCAGATATTGAGATAATAGAGAGATATACCTAGAGAGGGTTAATTAGCTCTTATAAGAGGTGAGGATAGATAATTAGGCCTTTTAAAATACTTAGACTATTATAGTATTTAATAACTTGTTCAGATCAACTAATAATCAAATTAAATTAGATCAAATCAAAGTTGGATAGATCGAATCCCAATTGGGCTCCGTTGATGTTTTTGGGGTACCTGTCGCAATCATACCCGCTATGTCTCGAGGCCCAGCCCGGCTGATGAACGAGTGGACCGCAGCCCGGTCCAGGTGATAAACCGGATATGGAATCTAGATCGGTTAGATTCCTCCTTTCGCTTGGTATAAGCTCATCAACGTGCCACTTCAGCCATCCTGGTGGTCCGCAATCCCTATTCATCTTCCTCGCAGAAGAAACGGTGGTGAGGTATCACCGAAGGATTTCTCCGTACACATTCGAATCAGTCTAATCATGGCAGACTTGGACGAGGGCGTTCTGCGCAGTTCGATCTTTGATTCGCGAAAAGGTTCGGTTTCTTCCCTCTCCTTAACCCAGTTCTTTCCCTTCTTTTTCAAGTCTTTCATTCTTGATTGAGGTGGTTGACTTCGGTATTCTTGGTTTGTTTTTATGGTTTTGCCCATCGTTCCTTACCGTGAAATTGAATCGCCCGTAAATTCTGAGTTGGACTGTCCCTCTTCCTCAATTTGTGCTTGTAAATCCGAGTGTTTGTATGGCTGCAGGTTATAATCATATCCTAATTGACATGATCGTTTGCTCTTTCTTGTTTTCATCTTTTATTTTTTTGATTTAAGGCGAGACAGCGAAGTCAAGAGGCCAGTTGATCGAACGGAAGATCGATATTATCGAAAGCTTGGCTGGCAAGGTAGATCTTTTAATGTGCTGTTGGATTTTCATAAGTATTTTATAATGATTTTTGTACTTTCGCTTGCATGCTTTAGTGGTCTTTTTCTTAGGCAGAATACATCATCATCATCATCATTTATTACTGAGTACTTTTCCCACTGATTAAGAGGTTTGCAACAGAGAAAAATGGAAACACCATTGAACTTGCCGACCACTCCTTGAACATTTTTTTTGCTTCATCATCAATTCGTATCTGGAGCATAGTATGTAGCAAATCTGGCGGAGCAAACACCTATAAATTTCAGCATAGTGTCAATGGGATTCTGGATTTTCTTGAACTTCCTCATGCCAAATACCAGCTTTCTCTTGAATACATATAGCAGAGATATTTTTATTATTGAGAACAATACCAAGTTACGCCTTGAGAAGTTATATGAACCTATATTTATGGCCGATAAATTATTCTAAGTACAAAAATGGGTTTTTGTACAAAAATAATAATTATTCTGACCAATATGGCTATGCTGAGTGCAAAAATACTAATTATTCTGAAGAAGTTATAAATTATCCTTTTATGGCAATACTAAGTACAAAAATAATAATTATTTTGCCCAATATCATACCCATATTAGGGTTTTTGGACTCTAATAATAACCTAGAGTGGACTCTAGAGATCCTCCGGAAAAGCCTTAAAAGTCAATGATAAAAATAAATTAATATTTGATAAAGTAGTTTTCTATCTTGACTTGTACTTGGTCTGCAATTTATCCTCCCCTTTCTCCTTGTCTTGTTTGCCTTTCATATCAATCTTGAGCCCTTCTGGTGATGATCTGAGAGAGACAATGCTGCTCTAAGGTGATAGGATAAAGATAAATATACCTGCAACAGAGTAATTAACTGTAAAATGAATATATCTGTGGAGTACACTTTTTAGAAGGATATGTTCACAATGCAATGATAACATCTCTTTAGCTCCTCTAAGTAAAAACATAATTACTATACATAAAACTACCTTTAAGCTGAGATTACCCTTTACCTAATTAAATTCCATATATACACTAATTAGATAATTGGTCTTCCTCTGCATCTTATATGTTGTCACTCTCCACAATATCCAGTGTTTAATTACATCTATAAGTCTATTGCAGAAAGGGCTCCAGATATTAGCTAAATTTAACAAGCTCTTAATAGTTTGTCAAAAGCATTTCATGTTGAATTTTTAAAATCATATAGGAACCATATGATAGTACAGCAATGCTATTCTAGTTAGTTTTCATTTACAAATTAAAAGAACCACCTCCATATTTTGCTCATTAATTGCACACACATGTTGTAGTTCTTTCTAGGATAGGTATGATGATGTTTGCTAGACATTGTTTTGCTAATGTACAAAGAAGTTCTTCATCAAGATGAAAAAAGTGAGTCAGTTTCTCCAATTTCTTGCGTTATTTCTACAAATTTGTCTTACCCATATCTTGCCTAAATGTTGACATTGTAGGTGAGTAATCGGCGGTCTCGCAGATGGCTAAATGATTGTCTATTGATTGAACTTGTTCCTCGATTAAATGTCGAGGAAATTAGAGGCCTTTTTGCTCCCCCTCCATGGGGTAAGGATGTTCTTTTGCTAAACTTATTTTATTTTATTACTCCTTTGTCCACAATTGTTGGGTTCTTTATAATCTATATAAACTCATATAAATACCAATGTCATTTTCTTTGGTAACTCAACTGGATGAAATATGTTGCAAGGATTTAAATATCTTCTTGCATGTAAATGCAATAAGTTTGATACCTACAGTATATCGTCATCCACCATTCTTGTGATTCTTTTTCATAAAAACATGATTCCATGGATTTAGACATAAATTTTAGGTTTCTTTCTCAAGTTTATAGATGTTTTTTTTAGAGAGTTAGAAAGTCAAATGATTTGGCTTAGTATAACATCAAAATGGTGAAAAGAAGAATTCTTAGGAATGAAATGACATGGGAAGGGTAGAGAGTGAAGAAAATCACAAAGAAAAGGCTTTGTGTAGCTTTAATCTTATGATAGTTTTCACCATCATCTTGCTGCTTGTGCATTGGCAGTTGGCACTGTACACTTGCCTCCCAATGGAATCCTTGACAGAGGCTATAACAACCAATTTGAATCATAACTAATGGCATGATAATGACGAAAGAGAGGTCTATGAAAGAAGGATGTAAACTTGTGCAGGTAGCAGAGTTTTTGGGTCATGTTGTAAATGCTCTAGGTGAAGCTACCGATAAGCACTTGTAATGTCTTACTTTTTTAACACAAGTTATTTTTTGGAAAGAGAAAGCTATGGCCTTTTAGCAGAAGTATGCCATTATGTGCATTTTGATAAATTAGTTAGAGAAATTTTCACCACTATTAAAATTCTCAAGCCAACCATCACGCATCACAGGTCTTGGAAATACTTGACCATTAGAGAAGTAGATTTTATAAATGTCTGGATCATTTCTTTCTGCACAGCCCACAGTTTTTTTGAGAGACTCTAATTTTATTCTATTAATGATTTCTTTTCATTATTTAACTTATGACTTCTGTCCTTTCTTTTTACAGGTGACAACAAACCATTATCAGCATTTTGCATGACCAATGTCAAAGAGTGGGACGTTTTCCGAAATGTGGACATGGATGTAGAGGTCTGTTGCTTCCAATGTTTTCTGCTAGAGATTTGTGGTTATCTTTTTTTGTTTTTGTTGAGGCAAAATATATATTGCTATCTTTTTCTGTTATATATATGTAAGTATAAAAATATCGCAACCTTCAACTTGTAGGCTATGAATTTATTTTACAGAAGTGATGTAACATGTCGAGTGATAGTTCTTTTGCTTAGTCCTAATCTATTTCTAGTGTCTTGTGTGTAATGCCTGGTAATCACATGGTGGATAAGGAAACTTAACCGGTTGGTGGACTATTTATTTGAAGAAGTGTGTAGTGCAACTTTTACACATAACATAATCCTTTTAGGACCCTGAGAGGTCATCTTTAACTCAGTGAAAATTGAAGAACCTTAATCAAATCTTAAAATATCTCAATAGGATCATGATCTATTTGTCTATAATTTATGCCAAACACTAATAGGCTCTTTGACTGACTTCCTTCATCCTTGGTTCTGATGATGTCCATATGCATGCAAACTTGAACTCCACTTATTTTGGCTGTTACTTAATCAATGATGAACTTCTTTGACAAATATTCAAAGACATTTAAAGGGTGACATTTTTTTTCTTCTATTCAACATAATTGATCTTATCAATTTCTTACAATTGTTTATATCAGGATGAAGATGATTACAATTGACTGATCATTGAAAAACATTATCAAGAAAAATCATCCTAAAAAGCTAAAATAATCTTTTCCATGATCCTTGAACAAAAAATAAGGTTGCTTATGTGAATTGCTTCCTAATTATTTTTTGAATATCTGATAAGCATTTGCTATCATAAATAACAAAGCATCTTCTTTTCTTGTAAATCTAATTTTCTTTTATAAGTATTACATTGGACTGCATACAAACCCTACACAGACTTCAACTTGAGACCTATCATCTGCACAAGAGGGTGCTAATCACTAGGATGTCTCAACAAGACATCACAAGTCATCATTGATCAATATTAAACACCACATCCCTATGAACCACACCAAGACAAAATTGTATCGCTAATATGAACTGTGTTTCAACTTGCTTTTTTTTCCTTCCTTTTTGCCCTTTGTTTTTCAGGTTACCAAGTAAAGGGTTTTTTGGGAAGATTCAATTAATGAAAATGACTGTCCATTGTCTTTGTAGGTGATTTTGACCATATTTCTTGACTTATTGATTATTGCTATTTCTTCATTTGGGGAAAAATAACAATGTTCTTTATATCAATAATGGCATATTTATTAGTTGAACTTTGTGCACATTAGGTCGTGATCTAATGTTTTAGGTACATACCATGTTTGTTGACTTTTTAATTTGCTCTACAAGTAATTGATGTCTGAACAACATTCAGACTGCTTGGAAAATCAACTGGCTTGGCCTCCTGGTATAGCTATTTGGCAATATATTTTAGTTTCATGGTGCCTCTTATATCAGCTGAATGTGAGCAGACCTAATTTATGAAACAACAATTATAGTGGTCAAACATGCTCTTGTTTACAATCAATGTATGACTAATTTCTCAAGGAGTTTTCATCATTTTTGGTTTCCCTGGATCTATTATAGTACCTCACATAATCTATTCAGGTCAAGACTTATTATACTCGTTTATGTTTAGGCTAGCATAACAAAAGCCTTGAGGGCGACTTCAGCAGAAAGAAAGGTTTATATGAATACCGATAAGGCAGTTGCACTGAATGCATGGCGACGAGTAGATCGTAGAACAAGGGAGGCTATGCGTCGTAATTTCCTTCCACAACTCATTGAGGGTTATGAGGTAACCTCCAAGTCATGTACTTTTCATCATTATGTCAATTTAGACTTCTAGCATTTACTTGTTTTTATGTTGTGTACTATTTGTTCAGTATGCAATCTCAATTTCTTGTTTGAAACACCTATAGCAAGCGCAAGCTCAATTTTAATAGATGTAGCCTTCCGAGAGAAAGCAAGAGTGAAGAAGAGAAGCTAGTTAATCCATACTAAACTATTATTAAAAAATGGCAACTAAATAATAATCCGAACATATCTTTAAGTTAAAGCTATTATTAAAGCTAATTATGTTAGATTCACAAAAATTTAACCTAGATCGGCAAGGATCAAGCCTTGATCCTCATGGATCTAGCTTAGATCTGCAAGATTCAAGGCTTGATCTTTGTGGATTAAGCCTTAAATTAAGTAGGAAAAGGTTCTAAATGTAAAACAATTTATAAATCCTAACCTAATTGCAACCGAATTAAAGAAATTAGGTTTGGATAAACCTAATTTTGCAGATGGAGTCTCTTGGTGTCTTAGTTGTGGGTGGTGAGCTCACAGCCCAGTCCAGGCCCTGCAAAGTTTGGGCGGTAAGCCCGGTTCATAAACCATGAGTTATCGCATTGTAGCTGCTTCTTAACAAGCCTTGTTTCAGATACTTCCCGACTCTCGATGCTGACATGTCACTACAGCAGAAATCATATCAGAAGAAATTTTTATGTTGTCTCATCTGTTGTCTATGTGGAGCTTCAAATTATATCATGCAGTTGAAAATGTTGACAAACTATGGCACCTAGCTGAAATGTTTAGATGATTTTTGCAAGTCATATTTCTTTTAATAGAACTTTGGCCTTCAGTAACCTGCTTTTCTTGCTCCTGCCCGTTAAAAATAACTTTACTGCTTGTTTTTCACTGTTTTATGCTGTCTTAGGAGCGCATAAGAGTATTCATTAATGATGGCGTTGAAGATGTGCTTGTGCTACATGTTCAGGATTCTTTTCACAGATTATTGCTTCATGGTGTATGTGAGGTAAAATTTCCTTGAGGTGCCTTTCAATTTAAGTGTGTTGTTTCTAACCTGAGCTTGGTCAACAAATTGCTCATGTGGTTCTGCTATTACTGGGAAAAGAAAGTGGATGTATTGGCATTATTGGCACTTTGTTGGAAAAGAAAATAAAAGACAATAAAGACACTATAAAGCACGAGAGCTCAAAATAGAAGAAATCTCAGCTGAAAATAAATTTGGTGCAAGAACAAAAAAAGGTGAAGTAGTGTAGTTCATTCGGCACCAAATATGAGCATATTAATATCATTGCTTCATGAATCGTAATTTGAATTTTAAAAAGGATGTCTCAGATAGAGTATTTTTGTTTCCCCACAGGGGACAGTTATTATGCAGCTGCAGCTTGCTTACCAAAGATACTTACGGCAACTACCAATATCTAGTCTGAAAAGTTTCAACTTCTCTTTTCTGATACAGTTCTACAATTTAATCTCCATCACTGAATCAATAGTGAGGGATGCAAAACTGTGGAAGATGACAAGGATAAAGAAGAAAATGGGTTGCAATGAGATCCCCCCAAACATCACCCTTGCTCAGTTTCTGCGTCTGTCGAAGGATGGAGCTTTGTAGCCCATGTGTGTTTACAAAATGTGGTAGTCATGTATTCTTATTGAATCTAAAATAGAATTCCTGTAAATTATCCAGAAATTATGGGACGATGTTAATTACTTCGGTGCATCTTATTCAAGGAGGAAACCTCAGAAGTTTAAGAGGTTTTCCAATAAAATACTAGCTTTTATATAATAGCCTTGGACTTGATTTATAGTTAATTTCAAGGATCCAATGGTTACGTGTATGCCTCTTCCCTTGACATGCTATTTTATTATTACCAATGTGAAATTTAGCTTGTTAGCAGATTCGTCGTTATCAATCAAAGATCTTGAACGTTTTAGTGGTCGTATTTATATTGGTGGAGAAGCCGGTGGAAGTATGGCAGAAGAACATCAGCAAGATGCTACGTACGTGAGGAGTTGCTATGAAATGAAAGATCCAGATCTTAGTGCACCACACAAACTGGCTCAACGTCTCAACTAATGGATTAATTCCGAACAAGTTGGATTAAGAAGAACAAAGTCAGCCATTTTGGGATGTCCCTGGCGCAAAAAAAAAAAAAAGTGAAAATTCATAATCTTATCTTATCATGGCGAAGCACTATAGTGAATCATGTAAGATGGGGCAAGCTACCATTGCCCCCAAACAGGTGCAGGTGGGTTGCAAATGTAAACTTGTTCTTAGGTTGTTGTAGCCGCTCACGAGGAGTGTGGCAGCATTGGTGGGTTGCAAATGTAAACTTGTTCTTGGGTTGCAATCTCAATTTCTTGTTTGAAACACCTATGGGATCTAAACTTGTTCTTATGCAATCTCAGAATGAATAAATGCAAGCTCAAAAAGTCCTAAATTATGGCTCCAAATAAGCAGTCAGGCGATGGGATCTCAACTTTAATGATCCTATCTTATGAGATGGGAGTAGAATCATTTTATGCAAACGAGAAAATTCAAAAGTAGTGTCGTGATGATCTCTTTGTATGTGCACGAGATAATAAAACCACTAATAGACATTGTTGAAGCTGGAAGTGTGCTTAGGATCAAGCTTCTAAGAGAAAGATCCATGGGAGCTTCATTCTTTAACTCAAGATTACATGTATTGTCCTTGCAGACCATGGAGACAAGACTACATGCATAGCATGTTCCATTGCAGCAGCACAAGATGCTGTTTGGTTAAGAGGGTATATACAACAAATAGATGTTGCTACTTAAAACATCAATTAAGATACCATTTCATCAATTAAGGTATAGTTGCAAACGAAGTATATGTTTCTCACTACATGTTAGATGGACATGTCAACTTCCGAGGACTGCCTACAATATGATTATTTTTGTTTTGTATACGATCAACCAGATCTCAATTGTTCAAGTTAGCTGATTTGTTGTTTCATGTGATTAACGCTATTATTCAGATGAAAAGCCTCATTTCATTTATTCATTATATATATGTTGCATGACTTATATATTATAACTGGCATAACTAAGTTTAGTAGGCTGATAGTGTGATATCAACTCACACAAGAAATCACCTTTAGCACTGAGAGACACATCCCCATGGTAACACCAATATGATTTAATAATTGATTCACCAACATACATTGATTCACCAACTACTATCATAATTTTAGATTTTTGAATTATACGTGGTACTACTATCATTATAGTGGTACCATCGTCGGAAAGCCTAATAAACATAATGTTTATCGGTTGACAAACACCACATATGCCTATTTTAGGCCATCAGTTTAATCTTCTAACAGGCCCAATTTAATATAATTTCAAACCTAATAGATATTTGATAAGTTGATATTGTTTGGTCTCAATACCAACTCAAATTGATCTAAAATGACTTCAATAAGATCTTGATAAAATCAACCATATATCGGGTATATTTATAAAGTTTTCTACTTGTATACTCTTTCTGTATGTTATTGGAGCTTTTGATAAAACCAAAACCTTCGATATATCGTTATTTTTTTTTCATGTCGATTTTTTCATGATATCTAATTTTTTTGGTGCAATATCCAATCTTTCTGACACAATGCCTGAATACAAAGTTCAATTTTTGGTACGTCGACTAATCCTTCAGTTTGATATCTAATTTTTGACATGATAATTTTTTAACGTAACGTACAACTCTTTTACTCGATAGTTGATCCTTCGGTGGCCTAAGTTCATGATCCAAGTAATTTTTATGTCACTTATCTCAAATACATGTTAGTTCAATAAATTCGTCAATTGATTTCATCATCAAAATCTAAAATTAAATTAACAGAATTAAATCGATAGTTGATTGGTTTCAAATTAATTTCGATTTTAATCAGACAGTTGCGATTTAAATTAGTTAAATATATTTAACAATAAACATAAATCGCGTGTGATGTTTATAGTACGGTGGTTAGTTTGTTAAGTTTAATTCATAAAAAACTAGATTCGAAACTTAAGATATATTTTTAGTTGGATTAAAAATATTGTAATTTTATTTTTTTTATTTAGTTGGATTAAAAAATTTATATATTTATTTCTTTGTGTCAGCTTTGTCCATTATCTTATAGTTATACATCTATTTTTTAAATTTTAGAAATAAAATTATACTTTTCTTTTATTTTCATATTTTAAATTATTTTTATTTATTTTTTTAAATAACGATTTGAACCAAAACCGAAATCGCTTGAATCAGAACCACAATCAACGATTTCGGTTCGATCCTTAAACCAAAACCAATCCGATTTGATTTTGATTCCTAATTAAGAAAAATCACAATCGACGGTTTCCAAACCATCAAACCATGGTGCCGTCTCACCGTACCTCCACATTGTGTTTTGCATTAAGAAATTAGACTTGTTTTATCTTTCCAGCTGTACACGTCGTGAATTGATTCTGTGTGTCACATTAAATCCACCTTGAATTGTTGATGTAGACATCTTATTGGAATTGTCACATTCGCCTCATCCAAATCCTCTCTTCTCATCTCAATTATTCATTTATTTTTACTATATATATATAAATATAATTGGGCAAAACTCAGTGCACGCTCGCAGATCCATCACACGCTGCGCAGTAGAATGGCCGACACTGATTCACGTCGTCTATTTCCGGCAACTATCGTAGGACCATCTGAGTATGACGTACAGCTCGTGTGGTCAAATTAGCACGCTAGCTAATGGACAAGAAGCCAGCTTCGTTCGTGCTCACCAGCTCGGGAGATACGCCATATTTCCAGGTAGAATTGGCACTATTTACAGGATGCAGCAGAGCCTGCTCCTTCAGCACTCGGTGCCCATCTCTCCTTGCTTCATGGCTTCGTCGACACTGCTTCTCATTCTCTCCTCTCTCCTGCTCTTCTGCTCATCTTTCTGCTCCGCGGCGAGCCCGCACGCCCTCGTCCTTCCGGTCAAGAAAGATGCTGCCACTCTGCAGTACGTGACCCGCGTCTACCAGAGGACCCCTCCCGTGCTCCTCGAGCTCGTCGTCGACCTCGGAGGCCGCTATCTGTGGGTCGACTGCGATGCCGGCTACGTTTCCTCCACCTACCGCCCCGCCCGCTGCCGCTCGGCTCAGTGCTCGTTAGCGAACTCCTTCAGCTGCGGTGACTGCTCCGCCGCCCCCCGGCCCGGTTGCAACAACAACACCTGCGGGCTTGCTCCGGAGAACCTCTTCATCCGCACCAGCACGTTTGGTGAGCTGGCCGGGGATGTCCTTTCGCTGGCGTCAACCGATGGATCCAACCCGGGCGCGCTCGCGACTGATCCACGCTTCCTCTTCTCCTGCGCGCCTACCTTCCTTTTGAAAGGCCTCGCCAAGGGCGCCAAAGGCATGGCGGGCCTCGGTCGGAACAAGGTCGGGGTGCCATCACAACTCGCGGCCGCTTTCAGCTTCCACCGGAAGTTCGCGCTTTGTCTCTCATCCTCGACGTCATCGGACGGCGTCATGTTCTTCGGTGACGGGCCATACAGGTTCCTGGGCACCCTCAACTTGGACGCGTCACAATCGCTTTCCTACACGCCGCTCCTCATCAACCCGGTGAGCACCGCCGGCACCTACGTGCAAGGAGAGAAATCCGTAGAGTACTTTATCGAGGTCAAATCGATCCGGATCAACGGCAACTCCGTACCGCTCAACAAGACGCTACTCTCCATCGACAAGGACGGCGTTGGCGGGACCAAGATCAGCACAGTCACCCCCTACACGACACTCCAGACATCCATCTACAGGGCGGTCACGAACGCCTTCGCAGCAGCATTAGCTGGTGTCCGCAGGGTTCCTCCCGTCGCCCCGTTCGGATTGTGCTTCGATCCGTCGAGCATCGGGAGCACGAGAGTTGGGCCTGCGGTGCCGCAGATCGACCTGGTCCTGCCGAGCCAGAACGTGTACTGGAGGATCTTTGGGGCAAACTCCATGGTTCAGGTGAGAGACAAGGTACTGTGTTTGGGCTTCGTCGACGGAGGCGCTGAACCGAGGACGTCCATAGTGATCGGTGGATATCAGCTGGAGGACAACTTGCTGCAGTTCGATCTGGCGACGTCTAGGTTGGGATTCAGCTCATCGCTTCTGTTCAGGCAGACAACCTGTGCCAACTTCAACTTTACGTCCAGCTCTTAGTTGCCCCCCTTCTCTGCTTTCCTGCCATGGACGCGGCTTTTCGTTTCTTTTGCTTTAGTCCTCGAATAAACGTTTGTACGCCTTCGGATTAGAACTACTAATGCAACCGACAAATGTGCTGGTCAACATAAGAGGTGATGTCGAGTCCGCCGGGAAGCTGAAATCGATGTGGAAAGTAGTGTTAGCGTAAACAACTTCAAGCCGTGGCCTCGGGTCGATGCAGCTTGGTTTGGGTCCGGATGGTGGGGGATCTTCCTGGGACGTTTCTCGAGATTGTTGAGGTGGTCGATTGTGGTGTTCCGATCGGGACGGAGTCGCTATTCCCTCTGGGAGAGGACTCCTCGTCTTCGCGTTTAGTGGACGATCTTCGCCTTCGCACCTGCACATTTGTCGGGTCGGGGAGCTCGACCCGACCCCTCCGACGGTCGAGTTAATGGATAGTCGCAGGGGTTTCTTTAGCTAAGTTGTGTCCTCTTCTCCTCCTCTATTCTCTCAGAGCGTGAGGGTTTTTATAGTGAGAATTACCGTTGTATGATGTGCATGCCCGCAGGGAGCAGGATCGTACTTCTGGTAGCGTTTGACATTGTCGTTGGTGTGGCATAGGGGGTCAAGCTTGAGCAGGGTGTTAATGTGCCTAGGTGGGTGTTTCGGTCCACATAAACCGGGTGCCTCATCAAGTTGACAGATGCTTGATGTCACGTGAGTCTTATCGCAATTATTATCCTCATCAAATAGAGTTATTAGTTTGTTGACCCAAAATTGACCAAATCATATGAGATCAGCTGATATAAACTGATCAACGACAAAAAATCATAATTTAGGTTCCTATTACATTTACAAAATAATTCAACCCAGTTTAAATCAGACAGTAAATTAAAATCCGATAAGATATCAAGTTAGATTGACTCTCTGTTTGATAAAACAATTAATCAAATTGATCTAACGAAGCAAGCTGATATGAATCATGTGAGATTCAAACAATTATGATTATGGTTTTGATAAGATTTAGCAAATAAAATTGCTTAAAGATCTTAATATTACTGGTAAAACATATGAAATCTTAATCTCAAGGTTTGAATCCATTTGGTAAGTAGTAAAGATGTGATTTGATCCCAGAATGTATGAACAATTAACTCATATCTTCGGGAAATTAAAAGATGAAGGAAAATTGTATGAAGATTTGATGGATTGTTCCTCATAGGTTTCGATGAAATCTCATAAATTTCATGAGGGTAGAAAATTCTAAGAATAATTTGAGTGGTGGGATGGTTTAGTTTAGATAAGCGGTTAAATATGAGGTCAATTATAAATTATCTCATGTAATTAGTTATTTTTACTGATCAAATTATATTAGAATCTTTATATTTATAAAAGTAAAAAAATTAAAATCTCTATGCAAAATTAAAAAATAATTTTACAAAATTAAAAATAAAAAAGAAAAATATTTTGTTGGAACAATGGATTAAATATTTTATTTCTGTAATTATACGAATCTAAATATAATTTTTAAGAGTATAAGGATCAAGATGCTAAAAGGAACTAATTAAAGAAATAATATATAATTAGTCTATAAATATACCTGATAAAAGATTATATAAATTCATATATAATTATAAAATTCAGATGTGCAAATAAGGAAGGTTTAGGTATTAATATGCAAAAAGTCCTCTAAAAAATGGAAGAAATAAAAAGATTCCCTTTTTCTTGGTAGCAAAATATATCTTTGAAGCCGAACGTGTCCGTGGCGTATAGAGAAGCCCTAGCGACACTCTGAACCGCATTGGACGAGCGACTGAAGTAATCGGGGGCAAATGGCGTCGGCTTTGGCGAGGGCAAAGAGGACCTGCCGTCTGTCGGCGGCGGCGACGATGGCTATCCGCAGGGCGTTTGCGTCTGTCTCTGTGGGATCCGACATCGTCTCTGCTGCGCCCAATGTTGCGCTCCAGAAGGCTCGTACTTGGGACGAAGGTGTCTCCTCCAATTTCTCCACCACGCCTGTTAAAGAGATCTTCCAGGTTTCAAGATTATCCGTTTTCTTTCACTTTATAATTAGACGATCTTTTATTTGTTTTTTCAGCTATTTTATAAATAGTGATCTGCTGCTATGTATGCCATCAGTTAATTTCGAATTGTTGTGATTTCAGGGGAAAAAAGTGGTCATCTTTGGCTTACCTGTAAGTTTGTCTATTATCTTTAATTTTGAATTAAATTAGTGATTTGTTTTTTCTTTAATGTATTTCGTTATGTTTCTACTAAAAAAACCCACTATTAATTGAGGGTGTTTGAACACAAGGTGAAAGGCCAAGGAAAGAGTATATATAGGGGCTGCATATCTTTAACATTTTGAAAAGGAAGTCATTCCACCTTTGTAAGTATGCCCTGCAGCATTTTATGAAAAAAGAGAAAGGAAAAGCGCAGAGTCCTACCTACTTTGTGAAATAGTTGATTTAACATTGATCTGGCTGTGGTATGACATTTCTGGGCAGTTATAATGAGCAGCTACTTCTGAAATTTTCATCAAGATTGAGTAGTTTCATCTTTTAGTGGAGGGTTACCAAAACTACTAGTTTATACAGTAACATAATAAAGGTTTGGATTGCCAAAGAGTCATGTTGCTGAATATAATCCCCGAATAATTCAATTTTGCATGCTTCATTTGAAATTGTTTAAGTTTAATATGATCTCTTCCAGTAAAGATAAAAATTCAATAACTACTCTGGATCTATTTCTATTTAAATGGCCTACAGATGAATCAGAGCATGTAAGTTCTGTGTGTGATTATTGGCTTGGATCAATATATTTTGACCTTAGGCTGCTAATCACTTCAGTCATTTCTTGCCTCTATTCTTGTATTATAATCTTCTGTTGCCTCTATTTATGAAAGTTTGTTAGTAGCCAAGGGCTGGATAACCTTTGGCAGTTATATTGTTAGCTGTTTGTCATGGGATTGAGAAAATCATGACTCCATGTTCTTCTGCCCTAACCATATTATGATGTCAAAGCCTCACCCATGTCTAATTTCCTTATCCCCGTCATAGTGGATTATTAGTTTCCGATATGATTGCTCAATCCAAGGTTTCCATAGTTTTTCCTAAGGTTGAGTGGACACTTGATCCAAGTGGTTCTCATCATTTAAAATATTTCTCTCTTTTATGTGTTTATAGATATTTTCTTTCAATCTACTGTCATTTGATCTTAGATTTGACTTCCCAATGGCCGATAGGTTCCTTTTACTCCATAATCCTATTTATGCATAATTTTCTCTCTCAATGTTATACATTCTCCAAACCTTTCCATAAATGGTTTTCTTCTAAACAACTTGTTGATCATGATTTATAGATTTCCGAGAGGCTAATTGGGACACATCATTCACACAATGTTTACATCATATATTTTTGATCATCTGAACTTTTTTTGGTTTGTTTATATTCTACCTTCTGTATTCTAAAGATCTTCTTCCCACATGAAAATCACTGCAGTCTTTTGTTACGATAGGCTAGGATATCTTCTTCCCACATGAGTTGTATTTCCCATAAATCTGTAACAGCATGTGTTGGATACAAATTGGCATTTTGGGTTGCTCTTTCTTTCTTTGCTGATCTTCTTTATGCATTCCTAAGGGACGAAAACTCTAAAGAAAAAAACTAGATAATGGAAATATATTGATTTTTCTGATTTAGCAAATAAATCAAAAAATATATTGATTTTTTGTGAGAGCTAGAGTGATGATTAAATTACAAGAAACTTGTTTTCTATGTTTAAACTCAATTCTATAAGCAGTAAACTGCCAGAAATTGGCAAGATTTAGCAAATAAAGTTTACAGAAAATATAAATAGAAAGAAATGGGACAATCAGAATAAAGTTGAAGATGGTGGAGAGTGGAGTGGGTGAAGGAGAGAGATCAATAGAGATCTGTGAAAATCAAAAGCCTTCAACTTTAGCTTTGAAAGTAAATAAGATTTTTCTAACTTGACATTCTGTAGGCTTACTTTCTATTATTCTTTTAAGTTTTAATGCCTTCCTATTAATTCTACACAATGACCATTCCAGGGTGCATACACTGGTGTTTGTTCTGCACAACATGTGCCTAGCTACAAGAACAACATCGAAAAGTTCAAAGCTAAAGGAATTGATTCTGTGATCTGTGTGTCTGTCAATGATCCATATGTTCTAAATGGATGGGCTGAAAAACTGCAGGCAAAGGAAGCAGTAAGTAATTTGTTTATTTTTTTTTCTTTATGCTAGTTTATGTGGAGTATGATAAATGAAAGAAATGTTGCAAGCATGACTTGGTCACTGTCGACTTCACAAAATTAGTAGCAGTTTCCAGACTGTATTTGATTATAAAATCTAGCTATTTGATACGAATCTTAATCAACCAAAGGTTTGTCATAAAGTTAGCTTTTTGGCTCTTACATTAACCCTTTATCTTTATATATTATATAACCATAAAATTTGTACTTGGTTGATCTTTGTACTTGATTTCAGAAAGAACTTCACTATGCATCCACTCATTCTCAAGGGTATTGGATCCACGCCAGTCTGGCCAGACCAGTATGGATCAGCTCCATGCTGGTGTGTTGAGTGATGGCACTCTGGCATGCACGACACTATCATTTATATGGTTTGGGGGGTGGGGAAGAGGAAGAAGGCAAAAGGAAGAAAGGATGAGGAGGAGGTGGAGAAGAGTCGCAAGATGACAAATGAGAACACAGAAATGTTGGCTTGTTACAAGTAAGTCTAAAACATTAACATAGGAGAGAACCAGAAATGATGCCAGAAAAGATAAAAATAAATAATTAACTTATTTGTTAGAACTTAGGGGTAGCATCAATTGGGATTACAGTAGGCAAAATATTTTAAGGTGGGTTGTCCAAAGAAAAACTCACTTCATGGAGATACAGTTTCTACAAATTTTTGTCTTCTCTAATAATGAACTTCTATCTTAAAGATAACGATTTGATTATGTACTCTGTATATAATAAAGTCTAATTGCATTTCAAGCATTTGAGACTCTAAACAATGCAATAGTCACCATAATGATTTTGCCAACCTTGCAAATCTAATATTATTGTCATTAAATTATTGTAAAACAACAAAACAATTCAACATTTAGCCTTGGCAATGGCAAATGATATGCCATCAATGTAACCCCCAGTTTTCTCCTCTAGTTTATTCTAAGTTCAAGTAACATATTTGAAAATGTGAAAACAATGCCACTCTTTGGATATCTGATACATGTTCTACTTTTCTGCTTACAATTGATTCTTGTTACCTCCATATATATAAGGTTTGATGCAAAAGATTTCAATTGGCCTTCCAAGCAAGTGTAATCAGGAGCATTTATGATAGATGTAGCTTACTCTGATGTTTGACATACCTTTTAGATTGAGTTTTATGGTGACTTTGATGGGAGTTTTCACAAAAGATTGGAGTTAGATTTGGATCTCTCTGCTGCTTTGCTTGGGCATCGATCTCAAAGGTAAATACCTTTATGTTGAATCATGTATTCACCTATTGGATATTGCTTTTGTCTTTCATGTACTTGTCATGTTTGCTTTTGTCTCTCATGTACTTGCCATGTTTCTTCAAAATTCAGTTGATGGCATGATATTTTCAAAGCACGGAAAATGTCAATTGAACAATATAACAATCTACTTGTGTCATCTTCTGATGCATGATCTGTCATCCTTCACATTTTCTGAATTTTTTAAATTGTTCTTTAGAATGCATGTGTACTGATATTATTTATCAGTTGTAGATTAACCAACACATAGCAAAGGTCCATATACTCTTTTTCTACATCTAGTTTCTGTATTTAAATTGGATTTTTATGCACAAAATATATGATGTATATCTGATGGGTAAAACCACCAATGCCTTGACCTCATTTAATTCTGATTAAATGAGAGCAACATTTTGAGGGAATGCAAATTCCATCATATCATTTTCTATTATCTTTAATTAGTTTTAAGATATAGCAGCTCTGGATTACTAATATATTTGGCAATATCTGCTAAATGGCTTGTATCAACACAAGTACTTTCAGTCTAATTCTGGACCAAGTTGCCTTGGACTTTGAGATGGTCCTGTAATTTGAGCTAGATCACCTTTATTTTTAATTTAAAACTTGACATTTGAAATGATACCAATTATATGCTTTAAGGTGATTCTTCAATGTCATGAGATGACCAGAACCAGCCGAGTAAAATTCAGTTAAACAGAACAACTTTGTCTTAACAGATGCTCAAAAATTGCCAGATAGACTCAAAGATGGCACAGTGGTAGTGCATAAGTGGGTCCTATGTAGGCACATGCCCCCTTGGAACTTGGAATATCAGTATGAATATTTTCCTCTACTAGATATCTTAGTATGAGTAATCATAATTTAGTTATTATTAGCTTACAACATGTGTTCTCAGATTATGACATGTAAATGAATAAACAAATCATAGTAGAAAATTTATTATATGTGTTAGCTACTAATGATATACAAAAATAGTGCATAGATTACTCATTTAAATTAGTTTCTAGTTAAAACATTTTATGATATAGAATGTAGAGACATTTATAAATGATATCAAGTTGTGAAATTTAAATAGCAATATTGTCAATAGCAAACAATATCAAATAAGGAATCTCCACAAGGACTAATAAAAGGATATCAAGTTGTGAAATCTAATTTCCGGACTAAGAATTGGTGATTAAAGAAAGTTGAATCTACCTATTTTAATATATTATAGGAGATACTAGTGTTGACCTTGGGTAACAATTAAAGAAAATATAATCCAAATGCTTATGATGAGTTACAAGATTGGTCTTATTTGAAGAATCATGTCAATAACAAACAATATTGAATCGTGAGCTTCCTACAAGGACTAATAAAGCACCCTTTTAGATATATAACTACTGAACTCGTAAGTAGCATAAGAAGTCTCTCTTTTTCCCCGGTGTGCTGTTCTTAGCTGACCATCCTAATCAGTGGTTTATGGGGATGATGCCATCACCGGGAGTAGGTCTGGCTGGTGCTGTTGGCTATAGGCAATATCTTGACTCCTCTTCCTTCTTGTCATGACAAGGAAAAGCCCTTTATTTGTGTATTGCTGTTTTCTTCTGATGGCTCTGGAGTTGCTTTAGGCCTCGAATGTGACCTGCTTGACCTTCCAGTTATATCCTGTTACTGGTCTAAATGTGAGCCAACAGAATCATAGAAGAAACATGAAATCCCTCATCCATCAATCAGCTCTACTTCAAGTTAGGTGATATGATTTTGATCTAATTGATAGTATTTTTTTTTCTTATTTATTCTACATAAACATGGGAAGCTTTTGATAAACTGTTCAAAGTATTATGTCCTAATAAAGCACCTGATTTGTTAGCTCTTGATACCTGTATTGCAGGTGGTCGGCTTATGTTGATGATGGTAAAATAAAAGCATTTAATGTTGAGAAAGTTCCCTCAGAATTCAAGGTCTCTGGTGGTGAGGTGATCTTGGGCCAGATATAACCCACTTGAAATATTACGCATATTTGACTTTTTTGTTAAAACTGATGACTGTAATTTCACGTGGACGTCTTCTTAAATAAGTGAATGTTTGAAAACAAAGTCTTTAATATGCATCCCTTTCTGTACGAAGTCCAGAAGTGAATATTAAGGGTTATTCTTTTTCTTAAAATTAATCGCTTCTTTCTACATTAGGAGGTCTAGGGTCATCTACTGTAGGACAAAATAACCTATATGTTCAGCCTACTTAGATCATCTAGCTCATTTTATTTTGGATTCTGATTTATCCAACTAAATCTTCCTTGTGCATCATGAAATTGCAATATTATTCATATCACTATATGTGGCAGATAAAGATATCGATATAGCTTGTAGTTGTAAAAGAAATAATCCAAAAAGTTTGCTGTTTTATTTCTCTGTATACAAGCCTGTGCGAAAAGGTGGTGGCAGATGTTTTGCAGAAATAGGATCCTTTATCATTGTGAACAGTAGGGAAGTTAATCCTTTGTTGGTTCCACTGGGAGATTAAAATCTTCTCAACGATATGGTGTTAAAATCTCCATCGGCCCATTTCTTTTGAATGATTTGGTGTTGAAATCTGTGATAGAAGTGGTGAATGATCCAAGTATTGTAGGCATAAATCAGAATCTAATTCTAACTTCGAAGATTAACTTCAAGTTTTCCCTGTATTTGAGTTGGGTTTATGAATAGATAAGTGCTGCTTCACGTGTTGGGATTTCACGGAATCTAAGCCATGAATGATCGATCATAGGTGACAATCTGTTGCAGTGATTCGGTAGATGTCCATCAAAAGAAGCATTGTATATCCGGCTCAGGGAATTTGACCTCCTTTAATAAGAGACGAGATGGATGTGTTTTAATATGGTTTTCTTTCTTAAAGAAACTTAAAATCGATAAACAAACAGTTCAATTTCACCTAAATAAGTAGCTGCAGCCTATGGAAGCTCAAGCATGGTTGCTTCCGGGTGGAACCTTCCGTCCGTCGACGGTTTAACCTGGTTCAAAAAGCGGGCCAGAGGAACGACCACTAATTATTTGGCGCACCGGAGGAGACTCCGCGTTCCGAGATAAGGCGGCCTGCGAAAAAGGTTCGTCGTCGTCGCAGTGCCCCTTGCGGGACCCGCATGCCTTCCAGCCCATCCTGACCGTCCGTTTCCTGTGCTCGTTTTGGGAGGATTCAAGCGTGGAAAATATGATGGATCGACAACTCTGACAGCGCTGACGAGGACAGAGAGCGAAGAACAGAAAACCCGAGGCCACCAACGGCCTCGCCTTCTCCCTCGTGATAGATTGATAAATAGACTCTTCCCAGAGCTCCGCCGCCGCCGTCGCCGTCGCATCGTCTCCGTGGAACCGGAAATGGGCGCTCCTGTCACGGTATCATACCAGCCCACATAGCTTGCACCCCATCGATTCCTTGAGCTGTCGGTGCACGCAAAAGGTTTATCTTTTCGGTCATGAGATCTGTGATCCTTCTTATGTCCATGCTCGTCTCTGTGCTTTCTTTGTAGGTGGTAATGGAGAGAGAGGCAGGAGAAAAGGAGGAGAAGGTCCACGTAGGAGACGCGGAAGCTAAACCAGATGGGGATCACAAGAAAGAAGTCGACGGAGGAGGAAAAGGAGCAGGGGCGGTCGTGGTGGCGGTCGATGCAGCTCAGAGCGAGACGAGGGCCTCCAGGTTGCAGACCCAGCATCCGGTATCCATCCAGGTCGTGCCCCGTGGCGCCGCCACTCCGGCCACCCCCGCCGACGCCTACCAACCCACACTGACCCCGTCGCAGGTTAATACCCGTCTTAGATTAGGAAGAGCAAGTGGGATTGGTGCTGATTGAATATGAGCTGATATCTTCTGATGTTTTGATTGGTGGAAGTAGGTGGGTTTGGCGTCGCTGAATTCCAGAGCGTACACCAATAGGATATCCCTCCTCCTCTTCGTCCTCCACCTGCTGGTGGCCGCCGCCGCCGTATGCTTCTTCTGCTTCAAGGGCGTCGAAGGAGTCCTCGATTTCAACTCGGAAAAGGCTCGGAAGGAGCGCCACGTGCTCAAGTTCTGGCTCCCGCCCATCGAGGGCGCCTCCGTCCTCAGCATCATCCTCGCCTTCGCGTGGCAGAAGGCCATCCGGTCATGGCCCTCCGTGATGGTCTCCTTTATCCTCTGGGCCTGCTTCTTCTCTACCATGGCCGCCGGCATCCTGCTCCTCTGTTTCTCCCTCCCGGCGACGGACGGTCTCGGCGTCGCCCTCATCGCCTTCTCGATTGGCGCCGGTCTGTACGCGTGCTGGGTCACCCGCCGCATCCCCTTCGCTGGAAAGGTCTTCGCCCTCGCCCTCCGGCCGGCGACCAAGTTCCCAGATCTCAATGGTCCGGCCTATCTCATGATGGGCGTAGGCTTCCTTTGGATCTCGGCTTGGTGCTTTGCAGTGATCGGAGCGCTCAACTTCTACTATCCACCGCTGACCATCCTCCTTTTGGTGCTGAGCCTTGCTTGGACAGCGGAGGTGATGCGCAATGTAGCCAATTTGACAGTGAGTCGGGTTATTGCCCTGTACTACCTCAGGGGGATGCAGTCCAATACTCAGTTCAGCTTCCAGCGAGCCACCACCATTAATCTCGGCAGCGCTTGCCTCGGGTCGCTCTTCGTGCCCTCCATCGAGGCGCTACGCATCATTGCCCGCGGCCTCAACTTGCTGGAGGGAGAGGATGAGTTCTTGTTCTCGTGTGCGCACTGCTGTCTTCGGGTCATGGAGTCCATCTTCCGCTACGGCAACAGCTGGGCATTCGTCCATGTAATCAACTACACTCCTCTTCAATCTCTTGACTGTGCCCCCTTTTCCCGACATTTGCTTCTTCTATGCTGATTGGGACGGGGAACGTTTGCAGATAGCGGCGTACGGGAGGGGGTTCGTGGCGGCGTCGCAGAGCACATGGGGGCTGTTCGAGAGGCACAAGATGGAGGAGCTGGTGGACTCGGACATCACCAGTGCCGTGTGCTTCTTGACGGGGGTCACCAGCGGCGCCCTCTCCCTCATCTTCGCTGCTTCCTGGACCTTCTCCTCCCACAAGCACTACACGGCCACCGTCTCCCTCCTCGCCTTCTTCGTGGGCTATCTCATGGTCAGTTTTTTCTTCCCTGCTTCCTTTCCTTCCTCGTTCACCCCACATGATAACGACCCGCACTTCCTTCTTCCCAACAGACGAGGATCGGCATGGCGTTGCCGCATGCGTGCGTCGCGTGCTACTTCGTTTGCTACGCCGAGAACCCGAGCCCGAGGCTGTTCGACGACACCATCCCTGCCCGGCTCAACCAGATCCGGTCCGACAGTGAGGGGTTCGTGCCGACGCCACGGTTCCCCCGGCGTCACCCTACAACCTAAACGACGGAGGCGGCTCTGCCTTCAATCGCACTCCACCGCCGCCGGCTCCTCTGCGGTTAGTCGCAGTAAGACTTCAACCGTGGTGGGTGGGCGGGCGGGCTATCGAGGGGGAGGCGTGGATTGTCCATCACGCGAAGGATGGATGGTTTGACCCGGCGACGTCGCTAATAAGCAACACCCGAGGCCACGACGTGCCGAGGTGGAACGAAGGCGACAGCCACATCGCGCACGCAAATGATCACAGCGCGGACATTTGCCAACCACATTGCTTATCGGAGGTCCCATCCACTTACCAATATCTTTTGCTATCACGAGTTGTCCTGTGGAGATTGACGTGTGGCCCAATTCACATACGTGATAGAGATATATCGTAGACAAAGAAGCCATGTAATTGTACCGAGAGCAGCAGCGGAATGTGAAGTCGATGTCGACATGTAGGTAGGAATAATTACGGTGTAAAGGGGTGAGAGACACACATAAATAATATGATTATAAATGTATAACGAAGGGGACAAGGATGGTGGGGATTGATTGGCGTGGCTGCTACAAGACAAATCTGCCTGTCGCGTGTGAGTTGAGATGTATTTTGCTGTGAACAGTTTGTTGTATGTCCACTTCATTTGGATGGAATATTCTGGGTGGAAGACGTGCGCAATGCTGCATGCAGCATCGCTGGTCAATGGTGGGAAGACTATAAACTATCCGCCAATGCAACGGGCCCCATTAATGAAGGGAGGGCCCCACGTTAGGGTCTTGATGTCACAGTTTGCAACAATCGATTAATGTACGCCATTACAAATGGGTTGTGATAGAAAAGTATCAATAATTACAGTCCAACGGTTGTTGCTTTTCTAAATGCCACTCCTTTCTATTTTTATATTTAAAAAATATACGGATGATTTTTCTAAAAAAAATTCCCTTTGGAGTTTTTCTAAGAAAAGATATTTTTATTTTTCTTGCATGATACTCTTTATTTCTTATAATACTTGGAATGTCATTTGTCGTTCTCCGTCAACTCTATGCTCATACTCTTTTAGTCGTTAACATCGTCACTAAGAACTTTGTTCATTCACGATGAAAAAATTCTTATATACTACGTAATCTCCTAATTTTAATTCCGTCATTGCTCACTAGAATAAAAAATTAAATTAATAAAAAATTATAAATTTATTTAATTGAAGATTTCATCTCATAAGAAAATTTCATCATTGATGGAAGCTATTTATCAGATATATTATTAAAAAAAAGTTATTTACTAAGATAATTTGGAAACTTATGCCGTTCGAGAAAAGGAAAAATTAAAAGATTGTTTATCTTATTTTTTTCTTCTAATTCTAGCCAATAAAAAGGGGAAAAGATTGCATTGGAGCTTCAAGGGCGAATGAGGAATCTCCACATCTAAGTATCACGAGTCAAACTAAGATGAGAGATTAATACCTCTCACCCTATCAAAAATTGGTTAATGTTTAAATTTGTGTTACTTGTTCTTTCTTATTTTGAATTAAGATTTCCATGAGTTCGAGCATCTTTCTCGAACCTTGTCCTTTGTTTTATCTTAATTGATTCTTATTTTAGGTTGGCCTGCATCAATCACCATCTTCAATATATATATCGGACTTGCTCGTCTTCACACATATCATCGCTTCGACAGACCACGTGAGCAAAACTATTATCTTATAGTGATCTGATGAGAATAAACAAAGATGAAAGCGCTCAATGTGAAAGCAAGATATAATACTTCAAGAAAAGAGAATTATCTATTATTAATTTACCATATGGTGCAAAATCACATAAATGAGAACAAAGTTAAAGTGTCGCTATAGAATTATAAATGGACAAATTCCTCTAAGAAAGTCTAAGTTTGGTATTTTTCCCGTATAATGTCCCTTTTTCGTTTTATTCTACTAGAGCCTCTTTGTCACTTTTATTCTATCGTAATTACATTCGCTTCATTATAGTCACTTTCGTCCCTCGTCATGGTATGTTGTCTCGTCTTATCATGTGTTCTCATCTTTGTTGTTGTCTTTGTTTGTGCACTCTCATTGTTATTATTGCTTGCGTATGCTCACTCTCATTGCCATCCTTGGTTATGTACTATTGTCATCATCCTCGCTCGTGCACTCTCGCCCTCATTATTGTTTTCATTGCTTCCGCCTTACCACCAGGTTATGCTGCCTTCACCCTATCTTCTTATGTTCTCTTCTCGAGGTTGCGAGCATGAAGTTAGCATTTAGAGCAGGAGGCCAAAAATGAGGTGGGGTTGTTCGAGGGGGTACTCTACGATGATAATGTAGAGTGGTAGGCCTCGTGACGAGAAAGCGATAAGGATGGGTGGCAAGAGTAACGACAACGAGGGCAGTGACAAGGGCCTCATGGTAACGAAGGTAGCTCACAATGCAACATAACTAGAAAGAGATAACGAAAGGTAAGAATAAATTCATCTTATAGAATATAAGAAGCACTCTATATGAATTAAAGAAAAAAAGAGATACTAGGGAAAATCTTAAAAAAATAAGATTTGTTTGAGAAAATTATCCATTATAAATTTAATTGTAACCATTTTAAGTTACTCTACAGACTTGATTAAGTCCAAAAAATGGGGGAAAAAAAAGAAAGAATAAAGTAGGGCTGGTCAATAGACTTGTTCTCCAAACATCTTAAAAAAAAAGCCGTTTAGGAATTTCAAGAGTAGAAGCATTTAAACCACAAATCATCTATTTTTCCATAGATATTTCCCCATATAAATTAAAAACTTTCAAAATTTTAATTTTGGGTAAAAACAAAAGTTGATGCGATCATATCACGTGAAACACAGCACCTAAGCATATGGAACACCAACCAAATGGCAAACCCTATCGCCATGGATGGAGGAAAACGAAGAGGGCTGGCTTCTTTGGGATAAAAGGGTTCATTGCCCTTTGGTCTGTGCCTTTGACCTCCTAAATTGCAGCAGCATCAGTGTTCGTGTTTGTAATGGCCTTCACAGGGATGTGTTTGTAATGGCCTTCACAGATTGATTTGTACTCACGCTACTGCTTGAAGAGTCCTCGTTAAAAACCGAAGGCTCTGCTCTTTAGGTCTCTCGAAGGCTAAGCACCCACTCCGATCATGCCACAATAGCATTGCGACGACCTCCAACGCATGTTTAGCTTAAGAGACTATTGACGACCTACAATAACGATTATAAATTCTTAAAATCATGATGCAAGCGACTTTGGGATCCAACGTGGTTTGAATTAGATCCTAATATGTATTGATACATGTGATGTCATTCGATCGCATCCAAATATATTTTTTTCTTACTTGAGCCTCTCACCGTCATACCAAATACTATCTATAAAATAACTAACTATTTAGATCTCAATCATTGACTTAAAAATATATAAATATAAAAATAATAATAACACATTGAACACATGTTCAACCTCATTCAGAGTTGACCATACGCAAAACAGTATCGACGGTCTATGGATCATCAGAAAACGGAAATAGAGCACCCCTTTCTTGATAGCCAAGGATATATATAGATGGAGAGACACACAAGGATTTCTGAAAAGATAACACAGACGAAGACTTCGACAATGACGACTAATAAAGCCATAGCATTGAACATTTGTGTTCTTTGTCATGATCAAAGTAACACAAACAAGAACCACTGCTCAAAAAATTTTTATGCTCCAGAGGATGAAGAATAAGAGGAGCACAATTGGAGGGTTTTGAGATGACTATATCGAGGTGGGAACCAAACAAAGGTTCATGATAACTGTTTCTTGATGATAGAATGTGGAACCTGATTGATGGTATAAATTAGTGCTAGAACTTCTCTGAGATGAGCAAAAAGCATGAATGGTTTCAAAGATACATGCTTGCAAGATATGCATAATGGAACAGAGCTCTACTGAACCCAATGGTTCAGCAGCCTGCACCACGACGATGACCACAAAGTAAAAGATGCATGCTATACTTTTGTGCCAACTAAATAATCAGCACTCGAGGAGTATAAATACAAGAATCACTTCTTCATGAGGTTAACAATATGCACCATGATGTTGAAGAGAGAATCCAATGCGTGAGGCTCCCCCTATTGTTACTGATCCTTTTCCGTTGTGCTTTTCAGTGTTTCTTTACGTAGTAGCTCAATGTCATCAGTAGACTACTCCAGAAAATTACTTCAGATTCTTTGAAGCTGCTATACCTCAGGGGGTTTGTAGTCAAGCATTTCTCTGATGTTTAACCGAACTGAAGGTCCCATTGATGAACAGATATGTGCACTTTTCCAGTATACTCCTTTGGCACCAGAAGGCTTGTTTGTTTCTACTGATCTCTGCATATATAAAATAACAGAAAACAAGGTTGAATTTTGTACAGAAAACCATATCATTCTTGATAGACCTAATTTATTTCTCAAAAAATATTCAAGCTCTTTAAATAAAGAAAATACATACAACTGCAGCCATCAGATTGATGATCAGGTCTTCATCAGTAAAATTGACCTGCCCAAAAGCCAAGTGCACAATCCCAGTCTTATCCACTCGGTATTCAACTTTACCTTTTTTAAACTCTTGAATAGCCTGAAACAAGGAATTCATTAGTACTGTCCTCTCAGCTTCATGCCACACCGGTCAACTATTTAACTCTCACACTTCAGTAGACAAACCATTAATGTCAAACTAGCCATCAATTTAGTGAACAAAGATGCAAGTAGAACCGGAAATTGATTATTAACATGAATTTTTCAGTGATTAACCAATTTTATAATTAAATAGCTACTATAACAATTTCACATGACCAAGTGCTTGCTTCAGCATTAAATATTTCTTTGTATGCTGCTTAATCAGTCAGTGGCTTGAACATTTTTTAGACAGTATGCAACATAAATCTTTCAAAGCCCTTTATTTTTGTCGTTACATGGACAGAGAAAAAAATTCCACAAATGATGTGAATGGGTTCACCAATAACTATAGACTAATTTATAAATGAGAAAATATAACAAGAACATGTCAGTTTTTCTCACAATAATAGAACTACTAGGAGAAGAGTGCACTGAACATCATATAGTTAAAAGGAACCAGCTTGCAGAAGCAACTTTGCA